TGTAAGTCTGATTGCTTTGATACTATTCATATTGTTCATTTTCTAATGATGTCTTCAGTTCTTTAATTGAAATGTGCATTGCTAACAGCGGAGCTATCTCAGCCGATAGGCTGCTTGTTTTTAGTAAAAATTAGATTCTAAAATAGACTTGCCCAAGTTTTTCTGCACTTTTTCTTATATTCTGCAATGTTTCTGTAATTCTGTAAATGAACCCTAAATTTGAGTCAATATTCAGTTTTTACTCAAAAGATTTGGCTATTTTTATCCCAATCTTCTGAAGGAAGACTATAAATGGTATTTTGTTATGAATTTGTGATGAAAAGAGAGTGATAAAATTATGATAGCATTTCTGTTTTGCTAGAAAATCTGTGAATTCAAAAGCCAATGAATATTATCAAATATATAACAGTGGAAAAATTGAAAAATGAAAATTGAGGCTTATTTGGTATTGTTGATAAAAACAAAAGAATCATGAATGTGATGGCGCCCTTCAAACTGTTGGGTGTGAGAGTGCCTAAAGAAAATCGACACTGTTGATTTGATGTCAGATTTCATCTTATATTCAGTATTTAACTGATGATATTTCTTTATAACTTGCATGATCCTGAAAGTCACATATCTCAATAAAAAACACTTTTACTCATTAACTCAAATATAAACCTTGTTTTGATTTTTTTTCCACATTAGTTGCTGAGCTGCTTTTGGTAGAGGAGCAAGAACTGAAAGAAGCATTAACAACCAACAGTGTGGTAACTAGGGGAGAGACGATAGTAAGGAGTAATACTGTCCAACAAGCAGAGGATGTACGAGATGCCATGTCAAAAGCCATCTATGGACGGCTTTTTAACTGGATCGTAAATCGTATCAATGTTCTGCTGAAACCTTCACAGGACTCCAGGTAAAGAGCGAGATATTCTGTGTTAAAAAAAAATCATCTTCTTAGCTTTTGGCTCAACTTGCAATTGTCATACTGCCCTCTATGGTGAATAATTGAAGTACTTTTGTTTTTGTTTCAAAGCATAATCTGTTTCTGGTCTGTAAATTAATTCAAGTTTGAATACTGTGAACCAATTTAATTCTGTTGGTGAAAAAAAGGAAATTTGAAGTAATAAAGATCTTCTGGGTCTTACAACACTAAGTGGTTGAAGCTTTCACAAAGTTTCATCTTCACAAAGGCCATAAAATCATCAAATGAAATTTTCTAGTGAAAATTAAGCTGTTTACAGTATTCTTGGGGGGAGAGCTAGGTTATGAAATGTTCTATGTTCATTGGATGTGCACAACTGTACAGTGTAATTGTATGGGATATGCACAAGCTGCTGTGCTGAACAGCTAAAATCAAGAAAACAGCACAAACTCAACTTTGAATTAATCCTGAGCAACTAAATTTATATATGTTACACACGTAGGGATAATCTTGTTACACTGTTCAGGAGAATCTCAACAACCATCCCAAAGTACCGTTTCCTGAGAGTTTTCAGCTTTTGTTTTCACCTTTGATGATTGCCAGGCAGTGAAAATGCCTGGATATCTGCCCCTAAGAACACTGTTCATGTTAAAACTTTGGAACCAGCAATGAACAAGTTTTGAGTTTCCTGGTTGTCACATTACGTGTGTCAGGGACGGGAAGGCTGGTTGATTTCATGACCATTCAAACATGTGATTGTTTGCTTCAGTTTTTACACATCATTGGCTGTTGTGCCTCAAAGGTACCATGTACATGTATGTGACATAAAAACAAAAGAATCATGAATGTGGGGGGCGCCCTTCAAACTATTGGGTGTGAGAGTGCCATGAACATGTATCAAAGGTACATGTATGTGTCATGTATGGATACCGAAATATCACACAGGTGTATAAATAAAAAATATATTTTCAAACATAATACCAGTAATCAATTTAAAAAAAAATACAGCAAAACAAATTTCTTTCATACACATGTTGCAAGACAAAATTATAAAACAACTGTGTTAATTCATGGAATTTTTTTTTTCTTCTTTTTTTCCAGTGATGGAGCACGCCAGATTGGTATTCTGGATATCTTTGGTTTTGAGAATTTCCGAGTGAATTCATTTGAGCAGTTGTGCATCAACATTGCCAATGAACAGATTCAGTATTATTTTAACCAACATATCTTTGCATGGGAGCAGGTAATTATTCATACCTCTGTACACCATTTTAATTTCCAGAGAAACTCATTTTTGTGAATTCAAGTCAGGAGAAATCACTACATTTCATGTGTGATCATTTCACTGGAAAGATGAGGGTCCTTAAGACAGGGAACCACACTGATTTTAGTGAAAGTCATCAAATCGTTTTTTTTTCACTCGAAGCTCCTTACAATTGCAAGCCCATATATTTCCTTACATTGATTTTGGAAAACACACTGACCAAAACTTTTTTTCGGGGGTCATAAAATGTAGATGGATTTGTGATAATTATTAATTGAAGCAAAAGTAATTATTATTAATATTAATAAAATAGTTATTACCCAATTATTCTCTATTTCATATTTTCTACAAATCAATACCCATATTTTAAATATAATAATGTACTATTTTTTTTAAGTATTCATTTTGTTTTTGTTCACAGCAAGAGTACATAAGTGAAGGTATTGACGCTGATATGATCACCTACGAAGACAATCGGCCATTGTTAGACATGTTTCTCCAAAAACCGATGGGAATGTTGTCACTTCTAGACGAAGAGAGTCGTTTTCCAGAGGCTACTGAGCAGACTTTAGTGGGTGAGTGTTTCATATGTTGTGAAAACAAAAACTGTTGTGTTTAAAGATGGAATATGGATTAAAAAAATAAACACATTGGATTATAGTTTACTGAAAACTATTTTTGCAATATTTTTGTATCTTTTTATGAGCTTTAACATGTATGTTGAATCATATACCAGTAATAATTTGTTTTTTCATTCAAGGAATACTCAGTTGCATGCAGGACAATTTTTTTTTATTTTTAATTCATTTTATAAAATCAATAATAATAAAAAAACATATTAAAAATATTACATCTTTAAACCATGGCTCTAGGTTATGAAAGGAAAGATGACAACCTTATTTAAGGAAATAACTCCACATAGTGATTTATCTCTAAAACCACTCTTTTCACCCTGAAAATGTGTTTTTGTGTCCTATATAATTCTGAATATATGTACAATACGCTTTTGACACGAGTTCATTGATTGTGTGAGATGTAAGGGTAATTCACATCTAATGGTTGAAGGCTTGTCCCAACTTAGCCTTCGAAATAATCGTCAGTCTTACATTTATTCTAATCAAAGTGAATCCACACTGCGACAATATGTCCTTTAAGACAGATAGTAAGTTTTGTCCACTCTGGATTGGCACATTGAATAACCTTTGTGTACACAGTAAATAATGGATGGGCCATTCAAATTATATTTCCCATGATGCACTTGTGTAATCCCAGGGATTGTGGATTTACAGTTTGAGATAAATTATAATGCAGTGTCTGTCCAATGTTGAACAAAAACACTTTCTGAACAGTTGTGTCTTTAAACAGACATAGATAGCACTGGATTATGGAGTATGGAGATTGAATGGTTGCCATGTACCGTAAATCTCTATTAGAAACTGCATTCCTAATTGAAGTCACACCCATTCTTTTTGAACAATTGAGAACCAAAAATTCACCATTTCTCATATGTGTAGATGCTCTAATAGAAACCGCATCCCCTCTTCTGCATTGTAGCATTTTAATAGAAGCCGCAGCTTCTAATACAGATTTTACAGTACACAATAACATGACCATTGTATACTTCACAGTCATGTCAACTACTACACACTAGGTTTACCTAGGTTAATAAGGTATAACTTTCAGGTTAATACACTACATTTTTCTGCTTCTATCCAATGCAGACAAGTTTTACAAAAATCTGAGCAAAAAGTATTACTGGAAGCCCCTACAGCATGGACTTTCATTTGGAATATACCATTATGCTGGAAAGGTAAGTCTGACTATATTTCTAAAAGCGCCATCATGCAGTGAACTAGAAAATACTTTTGTTTTAGTGTGGCTTGTGTGGATGAACATCATTGATTGTTATAATTAATTAAAGTATGTAACCCATAGTTGTGAGGTGATATGTGATCATTATTGTTATGATATTTTACAGGTTGAGTACATTGCAAGTCGTTTCTTAGAAAAGAATCGAGATACACTGGCACCTGACATAGTTCTTTTATTGCGATCTTCTGAAATGCCACTTGTGAGAACGTTATTTGAGAGACAGTTGACGCGAACAGGTATATTATTTAATTGCAATCTTTGACATTATCAATGGCATTGGCATTGGCATTGACATTTGGACTTGGACTTGGACTTGGACTTGGACTTGGACTTGGACTTGGACTTGGACTTGGACTTGGATTTGGATTTGGATTTGTTTGACCTCTGACCCAAGTGTTGTTGCATGTAATTTTACCCCCAGCCCTTCAGCTGATGTCTTTGAATATAGAAATTGAAGTTGAGCAGAAATGAAATAATTCAACCATAATATAAAACAAATATGTTCTAAATAAAGTGCCTATTGTCAATATTAGTATTAAAAAAGTGAAAATAATTATGTGATGTAAAATTTAAAGGATGGCAGTCGTAGTGCCACGTCCTGTTCGATATGGGACTCATAGCGATGTATACAGCGCGTGTAAAATACATTGTTTATTTACATGAAATTCGAACACTCGCTACGCGTCGACCACCACGCTTTAAATAACCTCTTTAAATATTCTTCTTTCTTCGTGTAGGTAATCTTGCCGATGCTAGAGGATTGGACGAGATGAAATTACAGCCTGTTGGCAGAGTCGTGAAACAAAAACCAATGCAACAGTACCAAAAGGTAAATAAATACACGATCAGACAACAACTCACACAGCTACTAAACTTAGAGGGCTTTATTATTATTATTAATCCTTTATTTCAGGCCAAAAAAGTCCCATATTAAATACATAACAAACACGAACACTAATAAATACAACGTCTAAGATTAGTCCAAAATTTGGATAAGAAAAAACTGTCAGAGTTGACACAAGTACGAATTAAAGCATTATCGCTTGTAAGTAGACACTGACTGAAGTTATATAATGCCTTGCGCTGAAGAGATTCAAAGTTGAAAATATTTCTACTCACGCAATTACCACTGGCGCTGCTAGCCCGTTTAAGGCTAAAGATCAATCTTATAGCGTTATTATAAGCCACTCGCACAGTATTCACAATTTGTGTACGATAATCACA